TAGTTTGTGAAATTCGAATTTTGTATTTGAGAATTGGGATATTGTTTGCATTTTCATTTGTGATGTTGTTTGCTATATTAGCTTAGTATTATGTTTCTGTTTTCATTGACTTTTTTTCATAATTTTTTTTTTTTTAAATTTGACGGCTGGATCTATAAAAAATAATTTATTTTCATAGTTATTAACAATCCGAAACGAGATATGAACAGAATTGAACCGAACCGAACGGACTTTCATAGTTATGGTGCGGTTATGATATGACAAAATAATTGGTAGTTTGGTGATGATTTTAACTGAACCGATCCCAAACCGAACCGTTGCCAACCCTACCTCCCCTCGATCATTGGTGGACTAGTTCCAAAATTGATGTGAAAACAGATTACTAAAATGTGGATGTTTGTAGCGAATCCATCAGCAAGCAACACTTTGTCCAAGTGCCAAATGATCATTCGGTGGTCCGTATCTCTTCTTGTCCTCTTATCACATGGTAGTGTAAAGCCACTGTCTCTTGTACTTTATATCTAATTGTAACATAAAACCCCTGTGTTTCAACTTAAAAGACCAGTTTACCGTTTTGTCGTATAGAATTAAAAACAAGGAGTACTCAAACAATATGGCGAATAAAAGATTCATGGAGTCTTATTTACGATGTATTTCAATTTTACAAAGTTTTAGTGTATTTTGACCTCAATCCACCTTATACTCATAATCAGTGTCTCGTGAGTCTTTATCGTTTGAAGTATTTATTATTAAATTCCTGAAATTCAGTCAGATTTTGGGTATCTCAGCACAGATCTAAAATATTTGAAATCTAAGGGATTACTATAATGTGACATCCCATGTTAAAAAGGGAAAATAAGACACCAATAATAACAATAATTTAGGTGTCCTTTTGTAAAGTCAGTCAGTATGAATGTGGAGGAACCTGAAAAACTCCTTTTAACTCTACCTTTGTGTCACCCACCTAGCAAAGATGCTATCCCTCTCTCTCTCTCTCTGCATTCCTGATTATAATAATGATGAAAATCAATGGTGTCGATCTTGCAACCTAAGAAATCAAGATACAAATCAAACGGTGAGAGCTTAACTATCACTATTTTATGTTTATCCCATCAAAAAGGACTGAAGACAGCATATTTGTGAGGGAGTTTGGTTTCTTTCTGGTGAGCTGTGCTTGGCTACGTATATAAATATATATATATATATATTTTTTAACACTAGTTCTCATCACATGTTCCCTTCCCTTGTGCATCATAAATCTCAGTCAATTTTTATCTCTCTCTCTCTCTCTCTCTGTGTGTTTAGAGAAATGTGGGATCAATCTGAGAAATGATGACCTCCCAGAGTTTTGATTTCATTTATTTATGGTGGTGGAGAATTCTCATGATTTTTGTGCTTGGAGCTCAAGGTTTCGGGCTTAACAATGATGGGCTTCTTTTGTTATCTTTCAAGTACAGTATTTTGAGCGATCCATTTGGTGCTCTAAAGAGCTGGAATTACCATGATCAAACGCCATGTTCTTGGAATGGTGTTACCTGTGGCACTTCGGGCTCTGCTGACGCCTATTCTCGTGTCACGGGCTTGTCTCTTCCAGATTCCGAGCTTCTTGGTTCAATCCCAGCTACTCTTGGTGTGATCCAACATCTCAGAAACCTTAATCTCTCTAACAATTCGATTAATGGTTCTATTCCCTCCTCTCTTTTCAGCGCTTCTGAGCTTCAAATTCTTGATTTTTCCAACAACATGATTTCTGGTGAACTGCCGGAGCTTGTCGGCAAACTCAAGAATCTTCAGGTTCTTAATCTTTCTGACAATGCTCTCGCCGGAAACATACCGGAAAATTTAACGACCCTTCAGAAATTAACTGTCATTTCTTTGAGGAATAATTACTTTTTTGGTGCACTTCCTGGTGGGTTTAATTCAGTTCAAGTTTTAGATCTGTCTTCTAACTTGATTAATGGATCATTACCTCCAGATTTTGGAGGCAATAATCTGAGTTATTTTAACGTATCGTATAACAGACTCTCCAGCGAAATCCCACCGGAATTTGCCACCAAAATTCCTTCCAATGCAACAATAGATCTTTCATTCAACAATTTGACCGGTCCAATCCCAGAGTCCAATTTTTTCTATAACCAAGACGCAAAATCATACTCCGGCAATCCTGAATTATGTGGGAAGCCACTGAATAATCCGTGTCCAATTTCATCTTCAATTGCAACTCCGCCAAATGCTCCTGCACCACCAGGCTCTCCACCAGCAATCGCCGCCATACCCAAGACCATAGACTCAACTCCTGCAACTGCTTCACCAGGCGGCGGCGCCACCTCAAGTCCACAACAAGGAAAAAAAAGTGGGCTTAGAACTGGAACAATCCTCGGAATCGTCTTTGGAGATGTGGCTGGAATTGGAATTATAGCACTTATTTTCATGCACGTATATCATCTGAAGAAAAGGAAAAGCAACGAAGGTACGATAAAAGAAGAGGCAGAAAGCGCAAACGAGTTTAACTGGGCATCTTCGTCATCTTCGTCCGAAGAATACAACTGGTTAAGAACATGGACTTGTTTGAAGAAACAGAGACACGCCGAGGATGACGAGACCTTAGAAACTCCAATTCCAGACGGCGAGGAGGATGAGGTTCTTTCGAAACATCAAGAAAATCACGTACGACAAGAGCAGAAAAATGGTTCACTTGTAACTGTTGATGGCGAAAAGGAGCTAGAATTAGAGACTTTGCTTAAGGCTTCAGCCTACATTTTGGGCGCCTCAGGGTCTAGCATAATGTACAAGGCAGTGCTTGAAGATGGCACTACCTTGGCCGTCCGTCGTATAGGCGAAAATGGTGTGGAGAGGTTCAGGGATTTCCATAATCAAGTTCGTGTAATTGCTAAATTGGTGCACCCCAATTTGGTTCAGATTCGAGGGTTCTATTGGGGCACTGATGAGAAGCTGGTCATCTACGATTTTGTTCCCAATGGCAGCCTGGCTAATGCACGTTACAGTAAGTCACTGACTAACTTTGTTCTTAGCAAGATTTGATTTTAGTTTTCTTACTGATTTAATTTTATAAGAATATGAATGATTGGATGCTCAATTTAGCTTATTATTTGATTAAGACAAGGCACAATGACGTTTAACACATCGTAATTTTACTTGGGTCGTCACTCTGATTTAGTATTACATACTAAAAATTTCTTTTTACACGTTAATCCCTCGAATAATTCACTGCGTACAAGGAATTACTGTATGGTGCATTTTGACAAAAACCAATGAAATTCTGTCTTGTGTTATTGTGAATTTTTTTTTTTTTTTTTTTTTTTTTTTTTTTTTGAAAAAGTTTTTTCTTTTTTTTTTTTTTAATTTTTTTTTTTTTTTTTTTTTTTTTTTTTTATGTGAAAGCAGTCTTCCCGTGTAGCTTGGCTCTAAGGACAATTCCATTTATTCCGAATAGAATGTACCGAAAGTTGTCCCCCTTTCACAATGCATGTGAGCTCCACGTGAATATAAAAATCCTCAGACGTGGTCCACATCCCCTATTGTGAATAGTAAGTAAAGAATTAAGTAAAAAAATTATGTACATGTAGCACTGTCTTGGCTCTAATCCCTCAGCCAGTTAGCCGACATCTGAACAAACTAGAACAAGGCCCATGTCCGTTTACAGATGCACAAGTTAGAAGAAAGCATATGGCTTTTGCTAACGTGAGCCAGCACTAAGATCAGGAGGTGGAGTTGTTGAAACTGAAACCTTGGCTTTAATGCACTGAAATCTGGTTCAGCAATCCGCTGGAAGCCAACAGTGTCATTAACTTTTGGTTTTATTCCTTAACCTTGGCCCACGGTTCATGATAGCGATATATGTCGAGCATAACGCGACGAATGTAGTTTTGTTTGTATTGCTCAATTGCATTGAAAAGGACTAACCTTGAAACGATTGGGATCTTAACAAATGCTAACTTGTGCATTTTCGGTTATAATTTTCAGGGAAAGCTGGCTCTTCACCTTGTCATTTACCATGGGAAATGCGGCTCAAGATAGCAAAAGGTGTTGCACGTGGACTGTGTTATATCCATGAGAAGAAGCATGTGCATGGCAACCTCAAGCCGAGCAATATTCTGTTCGGCCCTGATATGGAGCCCAAGATTGGAGATTTCGGGCTTGAAAGGCTCGTGGCGGGTGACAACAGTTACAAGGCTGGTGGATCGACTCGGAATTTGGGTAGCAAGAGGTCCACAGCCTCACGCGATAGCTTTCAAGATTTCGCCAGTGGGGCTACCCCAAGCCCGAGCCCAAGTGCAATAGGTGTATCGCCCTATCATGCACCAGAGTCATTGCGAAGTCTCAAACCCAACCCGAAATGGGACGTGTTCTCATTTGGTGTAGTGTTGCTCGAATTGCTTACAGGAAAAATCATTGTTTCGGATGAAATGGGCCCCGGCTTGGCACTCGAGGCCACCACATCATCGGTCGAAGAGAAGGGAAAAGTGTTGAGGATGGCTGATGTGCCGATCCGAGCTGACGTGGAAGAGAAAGAGGATGCTTTCTTGGCACTACTAAAATTAGGATACAGTTGCATATCTCCTGTCCCACAAAAGAGACCATCCATGAAAGAGGTCCTTCAAGCACTTGAGAGGTTTCCAACTAGTTCATTTTCTGCATCGTACCATTATGATCACTAGCAATGACAAATGGACCAAATTGTAGAGGTGTATTTATGATTGACTGACATGTTAAATTGTGAGAAATTCTCGATTAGAATTATTGATCATAGCTTTGTTTGTTCATATTGAAGTTTTCCAAGATTGGTATACAGACTATAATTGTCAATGTTCAGTGCTATGCTAGTCGTGTAACGGAGTTGAAAAATGGACCGATTTCCTCTGTTTTTTGTTTAGTTTTTTGGGATCTTGGGATGATTTCCTAGCCTGTTAGAATCTGACAAGTGGAATTTGATTGTCCACAACTGCATCGAACTAATAGCTATGTGCAAGTGAAAGACCACTTCTCTAGCCAGAATCTTAGAAAAGAAATTATCCCAAAATATATAAGTCCATGAAGCACAAGATATTTATAATAGAGCTCTGAAAAATCGATCAACAATAACACCAAAATGAGTGCTTCAGCTAACAAGGTGCAACTCTAGGACCTTTGCTATGTTTTTTCGTCATTTTTCTATCGTAAATATGCAATATTCAGGAAGAGTAGAGGCTGAATTTTAACCACAGGTGGTTGTAAATTTTGATATCAGGGCACTGAAACTGCGACTACTCAATGTCTAAATGAGAAGAAGGTGGAGACGCCCCCAAGGCACATCTCCAAGTGGTAAAAGGGGAAGGTGGAGAAATCCAGTTTTGCTTGTGGCTGCTGCGTCAAGGGTTCGAATCCTGAAATATAGATTTGACTCTTGGGTAAGTGCAAGTGTACAAGCAGCCTTCCACCCTGTACCCTTGGAGACATAACCTGCGATTTACCTCCCTCACGATGCTCCAGGACAGGAGTGGTGGGGGACCCTTAAGGTTAGGGTTTAACCTTTTTTTTTTTTTTGAGAAGAAGGTGGAGACGGTAGATTTTCGGTCATCAGCAGGAAGAGATCAAGAGCAGAAGGCAGTGCAGGTTATTCATCAGCCACATCCACAGCCACCAGCAGCGGCCTCAAACACCAGCGGTGGTGTCCTCACAAATGCTGCTGCTTCTGTTGCATCCACCCTCCAGTCTTCCAAGGAAGCAATATCAGGAAAATAACTTTACACAATCCAACTACTTTCTTTGTAAATTGTAATCCATTTGGCAACTTTAATTTGGTTTATAAAATTAATTCTCTTAACTTTGGTTTATATATATAGCATTTACTGATTATCAGATGAATCCAGTTATTGCTTTAGTCCTGGAGCATTTTGAGATATATATATATATATATATGTAAATGATAATCGTGAGTTCTTTTGTGCTATACACAATAAATACCTGAAACATTATTTTTATATGTAGATTTTTGTTTTTTTTTTTTTTTTTTTTTTAAAGGGTTTTGAATTTACAT